TCTATCCTAGAAGGAGACCCTATTCTTAAAGAGATCTTCCCCCCCCCCCCCCCCGCCACTCCTTACCACCACCAAAATACGTTTTTGTCTTTACCTTCTGCTTCTAACAAGTTTTAGTCTTCACTCAACAAAACTGTTTTTACCATGTCACTCAGGTTTTAAAAACGATCTTATGTCCCTTTAAATGGCTGCTACAGCATTTTCCTTTAATGCTTAAAAAGATGCACATCCCCCAAAAATGTATGGTGGGAGCCAAAAAATCTAGGGAAATTAACCTCAGAATGTTCCTTATGAGTCTTCTGAAGCCTACGTTTTATCCTGGATCCATAGACCCCAGAATATGCAGCTGCTTCCAGGAGGGTTTCCTGCAGCTTCATTAGTTGCCACATAATCTTTTTTCATGACTAAGTTTTCAAAATTAACTAACTGAAGAAAGATGATGTGGAAAAAGAAAAGGGAACCTGCGGGGGGCAGTTAATAGACTGTGGGGGAAAAAAGGCTAGTGTCCTTTCCTAATTCCCTTGTGTCATTGGCCACTGTCACAATAAGTTTGCAATAGCAGCAAGGTTTGCACATCTTGCAAAAAATGGAAGATAACTCCATCTCTGGCAGAAAAGTTATTTTTCCATGTCCTTCTGCTTTTAATTGAAAACAAAAAAACAAAACCAGTACTTAGGATTTAATTATAACAAACTTAATCCAGTGAAAAACTGTTCCAAGGCTGCAAATATCATTTCATATCCACTGTAAATAAAAGCAAGCATTGTTCATTCTGTAAATGGTGTTGGGTGAAGTTGACACTGCTTTGCTTTCTAAAGCTTTTGTTGTAGTAATATAACGTTTTCTTGAGCTGCTGACCTCTGAAGCAGGCAGTAATGCAAGACTTACATTTGATGGCAGCATCCCAGGCAGCATGAAGATAGATTTCTTCTTCAGTTTGCTGAAAGGTTCTGGTGCATTTTTCGTTATTACGCGATTTGTATACTTCCAATAAGTAGGAAGACCTCACAACTTTTTACACATTTACTGCAAAGGACTTCTCTGCTGCTTTTTTTTCTTTCTGACTGTACAGCCTCTGCTGTTAATCTGTCTTGATGGCAGCCTCAGAACACTTGGGTACCTACCTAGAACTAGACCTCATCTTCCTCTGTCTTAAATGCCTCTGCCATTTTAACAGCATGACTTAATGGACAAATGGGCCGTGGGAATTCTTTCCATAAGCCGCTTCAGTCTTATTCAGTATGTTTCCTGATGCCTTCCAATCTTGCTCTTCCCTTGTTCAAGGGCTGGTTTTGTGAGCGGTTACTTAAACTAGGAGCTGACTCTCTAGGTGTATCCTATAAAATATGTACCCTCCCATGTAATGATAAATAAGTTTGTTTTCTGTTTAACCTTAATGGTCTCTCAGGTTTGTTCTTTACTTCAGATTTAGAATGGTCACATTTTAATCCTTCAACTAGATCAAATATATTGTTTTGCAGTTCTTAGTATGAAAGATGTTTATTTTGAGACAGTGTTAAGTGATAATCCAAGATATTAGGATTGCAGTCCATATGCAAAATAAGTATTTCCATATTTAGGTATTTGGTTAATAAGAGGGATCCTTCAGTCACTTTTTGCATCTACTCGATTTGATTGCTGTCATGGTAAAGAAAAGTCCATTTTGACATCAGTTTTGATTATCTTGTGCATTGGAACAATTTTATTGAACCTATAATCCAGGGAAGATTCAAGACCTCATCACCCTTGTTAGATCAGCTTCAAAGGGAATCCTAAAACTTCTGTGCAATCTTCCATTTTCTATACAAGATACCATGCAACTGACAACTGTATTCTTCATTGTCTTCAAGCATGATTCTACTCTTGTGTGTTCCTGGCAAGCATGACATTTTAATTTCAGTTCCTATTAATATCGCATATGCCTCAATTAGTGGAATCACAAGAAGACGGTATCCAGAGGGAATCTTTATTTCAACTCCTGCAATGAGAACAGTAAAGTCAGAGCTACATTGGGGAACTCCCTTGCATAGAAAAATGGTTTATGGTGTTTAATTTAAAGTATTCCTTGTTTGTTCACAGTTGTTCCATATAAGTTATGTCAGAAGTCCACAATTCATTACATAAATCATAAATATGCAAGAGAGGAGCTTGATTATCTTAGTGATGCACCAGTCAAAACTCTGAATAGGACTAGCATTTGACAAAATAAGTGGTTTCCTATGAAAGCTCATGCCTCTCTGAATTAATGTCTCTCTAAGGTACCTGTACCTTCTAACTGACTTCAGACTAACATGGCTTACCACCTCTGTGCTAAAGGGAAAGAGAGAGTCTTTCATTCTCTGGATCAGGGATTGTCAACTGGGGATACTTGGAAAGGTCCCATGGGGTGCTGCCTCACAGGAACAGAGCTGGGGCAGGGCGATAGAAGTGCTGCACAGATGCCCCACTACTGCCGC